GGTCTGTGACTCACAGTACAGACCTCGAACTTGATCGGTAAGAGGTATTGGGGTAAATTTTACCCCACTAGCATCAAAAAGCACAATTTTCAATCTTTCACTTAATTAGCTAGTGGAGATTTACTTATTAAGATTTTATCTTCATCCAAATTAAAGGTAAAATCCCAATTAGAAGCATAAAAGTAATAGCCAGACATTGTTTCCACGAGCTGAGTGATCTAAGGCATGTACATGTTTTTCTTTGAAGTATACTAATAATGACATTTTAACAACTAAAAGTGGCACCACTTATTCACACTTGGCTGGCTAATTTCTTTTAAAGTTTTGTTTAAATACCCTGCTCCATTCTTGATGTTAAATTTTCTTCACAACATCCAGTTTTAACATTGACATGGAGGAAAGAGTGATCGACTCTTGAAAATGGTGCCAATGATAATAGCTTGCAACAATTTCGACTTCAAAATCATGTACTAGACAACAAACTCTTCTCTTCTAGTTGAGTGTATTTATGGAAGGTGCAAAAATTAGAGAGGAGGAGATTCTCTCAAAATGATTTCCATGTCTACTACATTAAAAGATCTTTCAAGTACCACCACATGTGCTTTTTTTAGAAAAATTCTAGACTAAATATTGATCAGCAAGGACTCTCTTCAGAATTATAAACCATATAATTGAGTCATTTTGGTTACCTGTATTTTTATAACCTGTCCAGTAATTTGTCATGCAAGCCCAAAATCATGGAACTGTACTATGACTTGAGCACTTAAACAATATAATCATCACACTTTCACAGATCACACAGTAATAACAAATCTGTATCCTACCTTATCAGGAAAAACAAACAAAGACCCATGCTACCTGTACTCGTCCCCACAGTCACCAGTAGTCTCAAACAAGTCATTTCCTTTACTAAGAGTTTGTTCAATTTTCTGGATTTCCTCTGAGGTGAGTTCCAAGTCAAGAAGTTTTAGATTTTCCTCAATATGCTCAGCTCCTGGCACACCAAACCTGCAGCCAATTATGATGCCAGCAACTTCTGGCTTGTCCAAAATATAACGACAAGCAACATTAGCTATGGTGCTGTTATGAGCCTGTGCAACCTCAGACAAACTAGACAGGAGTTCTTGAAACAGCTCCCAACTGCCCCAGGCATCAATCATCTGCTTATACTTAGCAAGAGAAGCTGTTGGGAGTTCTGATCTTCGAACTGGTTCTTTCTGGTTCAGATATTGGTCAGATATCAATCCCCCACCTAACGTGCCATAAGCTAAGAGCTTAATACCGTGTTCACGACAAAGTTCGACCATTTTCACCTCAGGGCGACGGTCAATGATAGAATACTGTACTTGATTGGTTGAGATGGAGATTCCCCTTTTTAAGATTTCCATGAGGTGCTGGGTGTCAAAGTTGGTTAATGCAATCTCTCCAATGAGACCTTCAGCTTGCAGTTCACTGAGGTAAGTCAGTGCATCAAGGTATCTATCATCAGAGTAATCCCACCAGTGGAACTGTAACATATCAAGCTTGTCAACACCCATCCTTTTCATGGCAAGGCGGACACGTCCTTTGGTAATCCCTCTTGTGACTGGTCCTGGCTGTGGCACCCACTTAGTCAGTGCTGTTGATTTTGTTCACAGAGAAAGTTGGATTTACTAATTTAAAATTAAAACTTAATATTAAGCTAAGAGGAAACAGGCAATATAAGTGTCAGAGAGTATCTGTGTAATTAAGGTTAAAATTAAACAGAAGCAATAGTCAGTAGCATTATTGTAGGTGGTATTATTACAGTTATGTAATTAACAAATGGTAAACACCACAGCATACACTATTGAGTTATGGATGCACACGGGAGGTTGCTAAGCACGAAAGAAGCATAAGAGTCGCTCAAGGCGGTAGCCGAGAGCGACTCTAGCTTAAAAAAAATAGTCTTTGCATTTGCTCACGTCAGCAGCGTACACCCATGGGCAAATGGGGGATGCTAAATTGACCAATCAGAGCGTGCACTTTACTTTGGTTATGTTATAAATAGCTATAGAAATGATAGTCTAGTTAGTAACTCAATTTAATATACAGTCAGTCATGTAAAAAGTATCAGAGCAATTACTGTACAAAAAAATGTTCTATATGCACAGGCTCGTAGTCATGAAGCAAAGTCTTTGTACTTTCCTTACTCAACATATATTGCACTCTACTTTTAGATATTGAGCACTGAGCACTGTAGCACAGAACAATCAAAGTAATAAATATATTTAGTATAATTACTCAGGTGATTATAGAAATTCTCCTGCTCTTATTGGCCAAGAATGGCATCATATTTCGCTATAATCACCTCCGGTGAGGTGATTATAGTTTCAAAATGGCTGCCATGCCCTTTGTTGATGTGTCTCAAGAGGAAATTAATTTAATGAAAGAAAATGCCATTCTGAGGAATACCAAACACGCCACAAAGTTTGGAATGACACTTTTTAAAGGTAAGGTGTGAAAATTGTGCTAAATGTAACAAAGAAACCATTAAATTCCCATGAAAGTTTTACTTATGTTGACATGTCGACACGCATGAATAAATCAAAACAACTACATTCAATTTTTGCAACACTTTATTTACTTAACAGAACGGTTTCAACAACAAACAGAATTTACCACTGACTTTGAGGCAGTGGAGGTCAACGAGATGAATAAAGGTTTGTCAAAATTTTACCTCTCAGTCAGGAGGAAAGACGGGACTTTTTACAAGAGAAATTGTCTGTTGTCCGCGTGAGCAGCTCTTGCTCAGTTGTTCACTGACGTGTGACAATGACAAATAAAATTTAACATTCCTTTGCTCATTTCTATAATCACCAGTGAGTAATTATACTTAAACAATTATTCGCCTCAGGCTCGTGAATATTGGTGGACATTCCCCTCAACTTTGTCTCGGGAATATTCACCAATATTCACTTTGCCTTCAGCGAATAATTGTTAAATATTTATAGGAAGTCTGCATTTCGATTTTTCCATAATTGCAGTACTTGATACAGTTGTAGGACCTTGATTAACTAACCTCAGTCTATATAATGCAGGGGTTTCATTAAGGGCCAAGCGCCAGGCAAATTGACTGGTTGTGAGGACGGTTTTGCCCACCTGATTTGAAGGTCTGGAGGAAAGTTTATCTTATAAAGAAGTTCAGTTCAAAGAGTTTTGCCCGCCTGTGAAAACCAGTTGCCCTCCTGCAGAAAACATTAATGAAACCCCTTAATAATGAAGTCCTCGGTATAATGAACAATACTTCAGTTTCAGCCCAGCTAAAATTACAGTAAAATGTATGCTCGAAAGAACTAGACCAAAATGTCCAGTTTTATGCAAAAAGGAAATCCCCCATGACTGATAAATGAGAAAAATTGGTTTCCTCGGAGGCAGGAGAACTTTTCACACAGTCACTTGCAAACCACCCTTGGATAGGTTAGTGGATGGGCAGCAAGCAGCACTAGCACTGACGTTAGGCCCCAAACATTTTCTTAAGCCAGGCTGGCTTGAAGGCAGGCGATGCCTGTACACCATTATTATTCACAAGTTGTGACAAATTCCGAATGAGCAAGTGAGTATTCAAGCAAGCGAGTTTACGATTCTTTTCAACAAGTAAATGAAATTCATACAAGCAAACCAACAAGGAAGTACTTTGTTAAATTTACTATAATACTAGTACTGAGATACTGCAGATGTTTGTAACTTTGAATCACATTCAACTGACCTCAAAAGACAAAGAAGTTTATAGAGTCCAGAAAATGTGTTCTGAAAAGGAAAAGGAGGCACTTAACCCTTTTGCTCCCAACAGTAGGTGAGAGTTGGGTGAATAATCTTGTTCTTGCTTCTATCCCCACAGAACTCCCTTGCTCAATTGTCATTACCTTCTCTTCCTTCTGATTATCTTTGTCACTTTTAATCAAGTGTAACCCCAGGGATAAACTTCCAGCCATTGTAGTCCTGAGTCAGAATGTCAGCATTGTGGGAAAGATTTTCATATAACCCCATACCAATCAAAAACAAAGCTGAAGTCCCAAAGGAAATCTGTTGTTTTGCCTCTGTTTTCTCCTATCCAAGAATTGTATGCATGCATAATGAAATACGGGGTTACACGGAAATCTCGCCGAATTATGTCTACTTTTGGCAAAAAGTTGTGTTTTGGTACGCATTAAGGGCCGGTCATTTAAACAAAGTCAGCCATTGTTTAGCAGAACCACATTCTAAACTATCTTGAATTTTGCCGAATCTTATTATTGTGAACAATGTAAAGCAGGCAGAAACCTTCATTTTCAGAATACATAAGGCCCTCCCCCTAAAGCCGCGGTTTGGATTAGACCTCATATAAACAACCAGCCCTGGGAGTTTTACGCCTTATAATCCTTCTTATGAGCTTCTACAATGGTGATGCACAAGGTCTAATGCCTAAAAAATTTAGTAATAATAAAAGGGAAACAAATGCTGAAAGTCACTTCCAAAGTGTGTCATGCATAACTGTGAACGTTTAACCTCAATGTACAGAACATGTCCAAAATATTAGTAGTGCTGAGCTAGGGACCAAGTAAATAAAATCAAATTTTCTCATCAAATTCTGACATCTACAAGATGCTAAGCTGTTGACAAGCTGTAAGTCAACTTCAACATCAGTAGCCCATTGCAGAAACGTGAGAGGACTGGGACTAGTTTCTTGTACTGATTATGTACATTGATACCTAAACATTTCAACTGAAATGTTACTGAATGAAAAGCTACCCAGTCAAGTTTAAGAGTTTCAGCGGAAATGTGTCCAAATCAGAGCCTTGCAAAAGTTGCAAAAATTCCCTACAAACCTTAAAGTTTTTGGCCTGTCTACCCAATCCATACAAACTCTCTATTTTAGGTGATATTTGAAGAGTTGTCATTTTGCCATTTTCCTCCTCAAAATACTTCTATTCTTGCTTAAGACTCCCAAATTTAGTTGATCTTTCATTTGAATATCTTAGTTTTTCAAACAAACGGAAAACAACCACACTCTTTCCCAGTCCTCTCACGTTCTGCAATGGGCTATTTAGCATCCTCGAAGGTCATGCCGCTGCAGGTTCCAAGTTCCAAGTTTATTTCGCACTATTCAAATTAATACTATATAAGATGACTTATATAACTAGGTGAAGAAGATAATGAGAAGTAGATATCATGCAGGTTTGTATATGTGTGCACAGTGACCAAAGTCGCCGTAGCTTCCGTGTTGGTCACTGTCACTGCACCAGATCAATACAAAGTGTAGAACTTGAGTGTATTTCTTGCCAATCCACAACCCTAACCTGACTATTTTGAGCTCACCTTGCACTTTTCCTGCAGATTCCTCCCCTCGTTCAGCTTTCAAATGCTCTAGAAAATCGCCAAAGATGTCCTCAGCAGGCCCATATATATCGGCCATGTCAAAAGTTGTCAAACCCGCATCGTAATACTTGAACATCTCTCTCGAGGCCTTGTTTGGATTAATCGGTCCATGACTACCAGAGACTTGCCACATTCCGTTTAAAATTCGACGAATTTCCAGACCATTTTTAAGACGACAGAATGGTACCCTTGCCATTTTTATGACAACTTTCGTTAGGTTACAACGAAACAGTCCTCCATCTCTTCGACGCCGAACAGACTGCACCACAGTTCGGAACCAGTCCCCCAATGAGGGCCCAAAGTCAAAGTCACGCTACGCTACTTCTAAGTGGGTTGACTTCACTTGGGAGGTTGAAACAGCCTTTCTTTAAAGTTTTGTCGAAGATTATGAGTGTAGAGGAATAAAATTCATTAGAAAATTATTTACCTTCATAATAAAATGAATTTTGTGTGTTTAGATGTACAATGAGGACCGTCCATATATCGCTTTTACTCCCGGAAATAACTCTAACCGGAAGCATTCTTGACCTTGCATACGTTTTTGGGTTGCTAAGAGACCAAGACGCCAAGAAAAACTAGGAAGTTTCTATTTACTTCACTTTTTGCTTGTAGTTTTAAAAGCTTTGGATGCCTGAGGAACTTCAGGTTTGGAGCAATATCTTTTAACCCAAAAGCAAGGGAAAATACCACTGCTAAACGCAACATAAACTCCCTCGAACACTTTTGAAAAATTTGTTCGGGTAGAACTCAGTCAAACTACCAGAGAGATCGACATGCTTACAAACGCGGGCAGATTTATAGACAGAAATCCCGGAATAATTCCGGTAAGTTTGCAAGGGGATTTATTGAAAAATGCCCTTTTACCTAAACAACCTAATCTGCAGAAAAGGCGAACTGAGAGCTGCAAAACAAAGAGAAACAATGAGATTATTGAGGCCAGCTACAGATGAGAAATGTTTGTCGTTATGCAGTTTCTGGATTAAATTTAATTTGCCCTGAATTTCACTTTTCATCCTTTTACAGGCGGGAAAACTTTTCAATGTTTCAGGAGAGACAGCCGGTGATAGCCTCCAAATACCACAACGAGTAAGTTGGAAGCGAAATAATCTGATATGGTACTGTGTTGTTTGTTAAAACCGTACATTCAAGGGTAAAGTTGCAGTTTGTTGTAAGCTTACGTTTCAAATATGTAGCTTTACCACAACAACTTCTTTAAAATCACGATTTCTCTTTAAAGGACACTAGACCAGAAACTGTTCGAAAGTTTAGAGGAGCAACACAACCTGAGGCGGGAAAGGAGAGAGTATTTTACGGCAGAGCAAATGATCCAGACATTGCTTCGAGGATTACACATGGCGTCTACACGAAATCTTCCCTTGTCGTATGTATCCCTTCCTCTACGATATAAGTCTTCATTATCTTTCCCAAAGTAACTTATAATCGTGTAGTTCCCGGAAAGTAATTGTATAAGGTTCTTTGTGTGATAGAAAGAAACTGTTTCGAGCCGGCAGAGTGTTAGTTACAAATAGCCTTTCATATGCAAATGACCAGCTGTTACCCGACTGTTGTCTGTTTCCAGTGAAAAGAACTCACAAAAAAAAACGTTTTCCTAGATAAATCCTCTGAAATTAAAAGCTTAAGAGTTTTTCTTTTCCCGCACTCTTTAGTAAATTAAATTATGAGCTTTCATCCAGAATAGATCTTTCATAATCAGACAAGCCACACATCAATAAAACTTATTAATAAAAATCAAATGCGTCTAACGGATTATTTTGTTTCTATGTCTGATTTCTGCAACAGGCGGGCCAACTTGTGAATCCTTCAAGGAAAAGTCTCTTTTCTCAAAGGATGCTTGACAAAAAAGAAAGCATTTACGCAAGCAGGAAAAACGCTCCTTTAGGTAATTTTATACACTACAATCGTTGAATGATAGACAGATATGTAATTAAATAAGTTTTACGTTCTCTCTTTTCTGTATGATCAGGTCGGTGTCATGATAAAAAGCCAGGACTGCCTGATGGAGTTGGACCAACTGATGTGACTTATGGAGTTAAAACCATCAAAGGTACTAAGATGTGATATGTTAATCACTACATCGTCAGCTTATAGATTAATTATTTAGTTCTTATTAACTGAGCGGGAGGTCTGTATGGGAGAATCTTGACCAAGGTCGCCAGTATAGACCTCACTGCATTCAGTCTGTACCAGCGACCCAGGTCAAGATTCTCCCATACAGACCGACCTAACTGGGTTAATAAGATGTTTATTATATGGCTGTGTCTTATATGCCAATTTTTCATATTCTTTGTACCTTTTTTTTCTAGACCAGTCTAGATGCCAGTCTAGATGGGAAAATCTAGACCACTTTCAATATTGATTTCAGCCAATCAAATTCGTGAATTCGGTTGTTCCCAGTCCTTGTGAGACACTAATTAACACTTTAGTGTTTAGTAAGTTATTTTATTGTTGGTCCAATGCAGCAGACACTAACCTTCTCAAACTACAAGCAGTCCAGAATTTTGCAGCCCGGATCATCGTGGTCTCAGAAAATTTGACCACGTGACTCCGCTTCTGAGAGAACTCCAGTGGCTACCCATTAAATCTCAGCTATATCTCCGTGGCGCCGTACTTGCTTTTATATGTATGACCGGCTCCGCTCCTAGTTATCTCTCCTCGAAGTTTCTAACACGTGGTGAGATAAGTGGTCGCACGACCAGAAGCTCCCAACTTCTGCATATACCCCTATATAGAACTAAATCTAGACAAAGGACTTTCTTTTATCGTACAGTAAATCTATGGAACAGTTTAGATAATACCCTCAAACTCTGTAATTCTTCTCGTGATTTTAAGCGTAAACTTAGAGCCAAATTACTTGCTGCTTTCCTTTCTCATCGCTCTTAGTTGTAACTTTGGTGAACATTTATCAACATTTTAGCTTCCTTAATTTTTCTTTTATACTTTTTAGTACTGTAATTTTGTAATTTTTAGATCATTGTCACCGAAAAACCCTCTTTAGGGAGTGTCAATAAAGTTTGTATTGTATTGTACACAGCCATATAATAATACATATTATTAATTAATATCATTTTATTAGTTTTTACATACATATCAATTTCAGTGTAAATATAATTTCAGATCTGCAGAATGGCCGGTTTGATTAGACAAAGTCTTTGAATTAGTAACATCTGGTTATTTTTGTCTTGTGTAGATGGAAGTGCTGGAGAAATGGTAAACCCTGCAAAAACTGCAGCTCAAGTTAATACCGAGTCATTGGAGGGAAAGGAACTGTACAAAGTCAGCCATAATGACTTTGATGTGGGTATGTTGAGACATAAGTTCATCTTTCTGTACAGACTTGAAACCAAAGTATCCATAAATTATGTGCACAGTTTGCATCGACAAGTTAACCCATAACTCCTAAGTTTCCCTTAACTATAGTCCCTAAACATTTTCTTGTAATTTGGTGTTAGATCAAGATAAAAACTTCTTGATAAGTTTGAGTAAACCTAATACCAGTTTTCTAGATTACGTAGGAAACCCATATTATATGGAGAGGCTTATACACTGTAATCGCCTCTGGGAACTATCTACTGACTAGAGTGGTTATTTAGTAATCCCTACTCTGAAGACAATTTCCTTCACTTTTCACAGGTGAAATGTTTGATAGAAAGTATGACTGGAGTAGAATACCAAAAGGCAGCAAATTTGGTGTGGAAACACCACATAACAATGATGGCATCCATGTCAGAAAAACTCTCAAATGGCTTCATGAGACGCAACAGTAAGTTTGATAATAAACATGGGCATGCATGTACACAACTGACTATTGACCAAACTGGTTAATAATATTTAATATTTTCTTCAATTATTACTATTTATATTGTTGTACCAATTAATAGTACTGCCCATTATCTTGCATTCAATGTGATGATATTATTTTCCTGTTCTAAATATTTAAGTTTTCAATCAAAACATAATTTACAAAATTAATATTACTCTTGTCAAATGATTATCTTACAATTATGGTAATGATAAAATAATGAAAATTCTAATACACATGCATTTCTACTTCATGTCCCTTTCTGCAGAGAAAAAGCAACAAAGATTGTTTCAAAACGCGTTGACAACTTCCGTGAGAGAACCCAGCCTCAACTTGGCCAGGTTCATGATCCAATCAAAGACACCCTCAGGGTCCCTCCAGATCATCCATTTGGGATAATGATTAAACCAGATGAGTACGGAGCTGGAGACCTGATCCATATGCGTGTTCCTGGAAATTATCTTCGAGGTCAAGACAGGGAAAGAGGAGTACTTGCAGCTGCGAGACATCATTTGAAGATGGCAAACTATCACAATTTCCATGACCTGAAAGCTGCATTTGGATATTATGACAAGGTGAGGAGGATTTTTGAAACAGGGAGGTACATAGTCCTTAAGGATATTCATATAAAAGGAAACAGGAAAGTGAAATCAGAGAGCTATTGATAAAATTTCAACTTACTCATTCCACTCCTCCTGACTCACTTAATGGTTGTTGAGTTAAAGTGTAGCTAGGTTTTGATTTAACATGCTCAAAACATAAATTAATCAATGCAATTATATCTATAATTAATGAGAGCAAAATGGTGTTAATTAAGACATGCCACTTCTTTGCAAGATCTCAAATAATCTTATAGTTTCTGTAACAAAGAGAATATATTTTTCCCAATAGATTTTTTCAATCCAAGTGTGTTAAATATTACATTACTATAGACCATAGTACACTTTGGCTTGTAAAACCATCACCTTTATAGGAATTTTCGAAAAAACCAGGAGTGAGTTTGGAGATTCGTGCAGCTACATGCATTGTGAAGGGATCGATGTAACCATATTTAACCCATACTTACACACAAGTTAAAAAGTTTAACTTATCAAACACAGGAAAAAAGGGAAAGAATTATGCCACAAACTCACGTAAAGCTGCATGTTTTTTTCCAAAATTTTAGGCTCAAAATCAAGGGTGCAGCTTATAATTACACCATTACTTTCAGAGGGGGTAAACTGGATTGTAAGGGGTTACAAAGTTGTTGTTAGAGTCAATGTTGCTGACTTTTTCATGTAACATGTTCACTGAGTTGGCATAAAAAGTTGCTTCTATGTCAAATTGCAGGATAACTCTGGCAAAATTTCACTTGATGAATTACGCGAGGTGTGTATCCAGTTTAACCTTCCCATCGAGCCAGAGCTGTTGGAGTCTACTTTAGCCTACTGTGATGTGGATGGTGATGGACAAATAAATTATGATGAGTTTGCCAACTTCCTGAACTGGAAAGACAAGATGCCATCAGGAGGAATAAAGAGTACTCTAACTGGAATACAGAAGGATTCAGCTGAAGTAGAAGCTAAGGTAGCCATGAGTGTTTTGGGTTTTAATTTTGCCCTCAAGGTTAAAGCTGATACTGTAACAAAAAAGATTCTCAGACTCGTACTGGCTGGGTGATTGAAATAGGTTGCTTCATGAAGTACTTTGAGAGGTGTTCACCTGAATTTTGCATGGGCTCTCTCTATGTAAGGCTCAGATCTAAAAGTACAAGGAAAGCCTTGACCAGTGCATAATGAGTTGAATGATTGTATTAGAAAACTTCCTCCCAAAAGAGATCTTTTAAGTCCAACCAGGGCTGAATTGTTTGAAAAATGATTAGCAGTTAAACCACATTTCTATTTAATAACTGCCATGGCAACATACAGCTTTTTCCGCAATATACCCAAGATAAGTGTCAATTTAGCAGTTTTAACCATTAAGGCCATGCCATGCCACAAGGGGGTCAATCAAGGATGAGCAGACAATAACTGGCAGGGGTACCCTAGAATGTGATGGGCTCACAATACACAGCGGGATTAGCTCTACTCCAATCCTGTAGTCAGGTGCTTCCTGTTTGTAGATAAGTGAAGTGATGGTATTTTTAACTCTTGAGGTAAACAGTACTACTTCTTCAATGGTCAACAAACTTTTGACTAGTTCTGCAGTGAGCACTACCCAGTCTGTCATGTTGTTGCACAAGGTGGCAAGAGCATAAATAAATGCTTTTTTGGACCTCTTACAGGAAGATGAGCAGAAGACAGCTGCATCAACACCTACAAGACTTAAAAAACAGATTGACCAGGCTGTTGGCGGCTGGAAAACCTCTTCATCTCAGTTTAATGATGTCACAGGCAAAATAAGAACAACAGGTAAGACTTCTATTGTTTGGTTGCCAACTCCAGAGAAACTTTTATCCCTCCTGTTTAGCATTACCCCTTCAGTGGTAGTTACTGAGTTTGTCCTCTCTGTATGTTTATGCACAGAAGGCCTCAGCCAGAGAACGACATTGATTTCTGTTGGTTGCTTGTCGGTCAAGCTGTGCTCCTTTCCAGCCTCTGTCTGGATTCTTCATTTTCCTTTCTATGGTTCTCCTTCAAGTCTCTTTTGTGGAGTAGGACTCTCTCTTAAAATACTTAAAATGACTGCAGGAGGTTCATGTTGTTAATAACCTTCCTTTTTTGTATAATTGTAAGTAAAACTATTTCATTATCTAATATCAATATTTAGGTTGGCGAGCATATGGAGTTCCAACAGTAAGATCTGATTTACCAGCACCAAACACACGAAGAGTTGCAGACCACACTGTAAGTCCATTTTCAACAATAAATAAATTGACACTCAGATGTTTTATAGTATGTCTGGCATAAACAGCACCAAACCATCCCACAAAATTTCAAGAACTTTTCTTTTAACATAACTTTGATGGCATAAATCTCCATAAAGTACAAGTTGGGAGAATACCTATCCTTGATCAGCTTTTGAATTGTTACTTGTTGAGAGATAATTTTAGATAGTAATGATAATCAAAGTTCTCATAACAGACATAGCAAAAAATTAATTGTTCCTCCTGGGTCATTCCCACAGAATTATGGAGATGAATCTGATGCCTATGGCCTTATCAACCCATCAATTTACAGTAATCATGGAGTTTATGAGAAGGATTTCTTTAGCTCCAGGGACCAGTATGAGGTAAATTTAATTTAACCACAAATTACTTAATAATCCAAAGTACATTGGTAGATATTTCTGCCAAAAAAGAGGGTCTAATTTGATCATGTATCCTCTTGCTATGAAATTTGTTTCAATTCAATTTCCTTGTTTCTTGTTTTTTGTTGTTGTTGTTGTTGTTGTTGTTGTTGCCTTTCAGTCACCATTTTGAAGGTGAAATATACTATACCGTATATATAAAAAACTGCTCAGTCGACATGTATATTTATTTTATACACTCAGATAAGAAGAATATTTGATGGAATTGGTGTGGAGATGACAAGTGATGCATTTGAAAAGATTTGGGAGGAAGCTAGCACCAGACACCCCACTGGACTGGTAATAACATCTCCATTCAACTCTCTTTACTCTTCTTATTTCTCAGCTCAAGCTCAATAACTCAAGACATGCATAATTAACCAATAGTTTTAGCATTCACCCTCAGGTGTCCTATTGCCCTTGTTGTCTAGCTGAACAGCCACAAGAAGCTCAAATACCTAACTGCTGGTCTGGGGAAGGATCGATGTTTCTAAAAACAAGATTGCAATTCTCAGATAAAATAAATTGAAATATTTCTATCAATAATAAAATTAAAATAAGCTTGATTGGCTTGTAAATAGGTTTCTATTATTTTTAAATTCTAACTTGACATCCTTTGAACATTTTCCTTATGTTCAACTTGTGTCGTTGTTGTTTTTTTTTAACTCTAACTTCACTTACTTTTGTTCTAGGTCAGCATAGAGACATTCAGGGGAGTAATGGATGAAGTAAATGCCAAGAAACTTGTTGAAACTCAAATGGCATGAAAACAGAGAAGCATGAAAAAAAGACTTGACTTTCCCTTATTTAAATAAACATGAAGCAGTGTTCAGCTAACTTTTTATTTTTCACTTCACATTTGATACAGTAGAGATTGTTAATAGGGTGTTTGTCTCTATAGTACAGTAATTAGAACTGAAATTGGAATATTCTCCAATCTTTTCATGTTTGTGTTTACTCTGTCTATCCATTTGCCATCCATTTACATTTATAGAAATCTTTGAATTTTTGCCATTCAAATGGAAAGTAATCAATTTGGATAGCACCTGAGCTAAAAATGATTGCAGCAAATGGAAAAAGTTTTGGAACATAATTTTTAAATAAAATCTAATTGAATGAAAAAATAAATTGGTCCATCGACACATATTAACAGTTCTGTTCATTAGTGCCTAGTACATACCTTTGAAAAATAAGGAATTCATATCAATAAAAGCTGTTTCAGCCAAGAGAGCCAATCAAACAGCTTGTTGCCCCCTACTTATTCTTTTCAAATAAATTATCGAAGATTGAAATGATTTCAAATGAAAAAATCATTCATTGAACTGACACAACAATCACGATTAGAAACACTGAGCTTGTGATGGATAGTGTTTTCCAAATATTAACACATAAAATGTTCATTTTGGAATTTGACACAAGCAGACTTAACTGTGGTCACATGTTCAATCTTCAAATAATCAATCTATTGGATAAAAAATGTTGCTTATGTGCAACAAGCATGGTCACTTTCCACACACATTCCAAATAATTTCAGCAGGACAAAATTCAATAAATTGGTGATCTCTATACAGATTTCCCCATTTCATGGATGAACTTAACAACCATTTAAAGTTTATTTAGACTTGATAAAGTCACATCAAAATTCAGAATGAGTACAATCATGTACATGATATAATTTTATCTTTAATTTCATAGTAATAAAAGTTTGAGAGGAAAAAATTATCTATAACTTCATTTGCACTGATGCTAACCCTCAAAATGTCAGCTTTTTAACTCTTCATGGAAACCAATTTCAACTTAGTTGATAAAACCAAATTATCTATAACTTAGTTTATTTTCACAATTTTTCACACACAAAAATTCTTACATGTACAATAGTATGATACAGTCAAAGTGTGATTTTTAACCAAGGTTCCACACAGGAAAACTCATACCTAAATTTTGACTACATGTTAGCTTCTTCAACAAGTAACAAAAAAGAGGGAAATAACAAGGTCAATATTTTTTTACATGTTATGTTCATTACTTTAGATGTCTACTACATTTAAATGTCTTTAAATGTCTACTACATTTTAATAATCAAGAAGTGCCACTACAAATAATTTACACTAAATCTTAGTATTAATATTATAACCTTTTCCTCTGTCAATGATTGTTTTCAAAAAGGCAAGGCAGTTATTTGCAATGCAAGGCTCCACAAACCCCACTAGATAAAGAAAAGGCACAACCAACAAAACATTACCTCTATTTTTTTTTCCTTTCCTTTCCTTTCCCTTCCTTCTTTATTTCACCTCTGTTCAGTTGAACCACAGACCACACAGATGTGCGCAGTCTTCAATCAGCTGTTTTAAATAATGCACGAGAAACCTTCAGAAATTACTCTGAGAGGATACTGCATAATTATCATGGAATTAACAACTTTAGCAAGCTTGATCAAGGAACAGTGATTCCTCGATCCCCACTGCCAGGTTGATAAGAGTCAGCTGCTCAAGAATCACAATGATGAATCTGTGTGCTAAATCTTGGTGCACATAACAAAAACTGCAACATAAACATCTTCAAGGGAGATGTGTTCAAAGTCCCACTTCAGGCGCAAAACCTTTTGATTCCCTTCCATAACCTGATCAAATCCAACAGACAAAAGGAATTTCTTGGCAGGATTTGATGAATGTGTCCACAGCCTTTGAAGTAGTGGATCATCTATTGAAGTCATCTTACCAAACATTGTATTTTTGAGCTGAAAATAAGTGAAAATAAGGCTAGCATCCCTTGAGTCCAGAAGAAATACTTGAGGGAGAATATTAAATTCCAACTAATTATGTGTTAGGACTATGCTGGGAAATATTGGCCCAAGATCATAGCAGTGCAGAACTTGCTAAACATAGTCCATACAAAAATGACTATGGGCCAAGATTCCCCAATACATCTCAAGCAAGCAAGGTTAGTAGTTTATTATAGAATGCATACATTTGGACTGTGGGATATGGAGTTCAGGTTTCCACAGGGGTGACGAGTTTATGGCCTCTGCATAATTGTCCCATGGGGATAAGGGTGAGCCAGGTATGGTGACCTAACTTCCAATTCTGATTTAATTGAATAATGTAACAAAAATTGTTCACATACCAGATACAACAGCGGCTCCAGGTATTGGGAAGTCACTTCTTTTAATGTCTGACATTGAGTAGCTGAGAGTTCTATTCAAATGGAATATTATTTTCTAACTTTTATTACAAAACTTCACACAAAAAAAGTTGCCAAAGGTGAATCACATTCAAACTCACCAACAAGAGCTTCTGCAAGAGCAGTGCAGCATTGCAACAACCCATCTTCAGGACTTTGGGAGAATGTTAAACTGCCTTCTCCTGAATCATCAATGTTGAATCCTATCAGAGGTAGAAGGTCCTTGAGAGGTCCATAACCTGGTCCAGCTTTGGTCTGGAATTCTTTCATTTCAAGTGGCTCAAAATTCTTCTTTTCAACAGCTGATAATGCTTTCTCCAACTGTTTTTGTAAAATAGTTATTGTGGTGAAAAATAACCCTCCAGACTTGTTAAAAACATCACTCTAATGAATCACACATGTGTCATTGTACTTCTAAATACACTCTGAAGTAAACTTTCATTTGATATTTCTAAGAAAGCACTGCACCTCTCCTCAAAGAACAAATCGGTGTCTACTTTAAATGGGAAAATCAAAGAAAACGAGATTTAGAGATAAGTTAAAATAAGAAACTTGCTACATGGACAATGAATCTGAAAGATTAAAAATTTACTACAGTATTCTTTTAAGATAAACTTTCTGTGGTTAGCATTTTCCTCCTCCTTATTTATGCAGATCAGGTTAGGCAACAACTGTACAAGATTTTGCTGTCGTGATGGAAAAAATATGGAATAGCATAGAAGAGGTGACATGCCCAAATATTATGTATTATAACAAACCCATAAAACATTCAGTTAAGGAACATTTTAAAAATAAGAAACTCTCACCATGTCCCTAAGAGGCGCAACAGCTTGTGGATAGGAAAGAATTTCCTTATAGAGACCAATGATCTTGCCAAGTAGCGGAGACTTCAGAAGGTCATCAAAGACAGCTTTTAAGGCTTTATCTAAAAAGACGTTTTTTTAATACATAAAGACTGAGTGAGCAATCCTTTTACCTGTGTTCAATTTCAAGAATTCCAAGTGATTTTAGGAGGTAATAAGAACTAATACAATACAGGAGGTACATTTTACTGATTACCACCTGAAAAGGATGTATCACTGACCATAACATCTTAGATAACAATAATGATAATAATAATAATAATAATAATGATGATGATGATGACTTTATATACCAAGGGTGTCACGTTACAGTTAAGAACTGGTAAACTTGTGGCCATCCCCTAAGATACAAAACTAATTCATAGATATTAAAAAGGTAAACCAGTTAAAAAATGGTAAAAACAGTAAAAAGAAGATTAATAAACATGATAAACATCATTAATAATTAATAAACATCACAAGAGATTTTAATTAGAAAATTTAAAGATATTCAGGATCCTTTACTGAACTGGCCTAAAGTAGGGTTAGGATGGTTACTTCCTTTTCTGTCGTAGCCACCAATCTGCTCCACGAGACCCTCTTCCTGTCTCTCAATATTAATTATAACATAACCAAAGTAAAGCGTGCACTTTGATTGGTAAATTTAGCATGCGTCCCCCATTTGCCCATGGGTGTACGCTGCTGACGTGAGCAAATGCAAAGACTATTTTTCTGTGTGCGGTTGTTTTTTCTGGTCACGTAAGATTTGTTAAATAAAAGGGAACTCTTTAGCTACAATGTATCAATGTTATGTTATAAAACAAACGGTAAACACCACAGCGTACACTATTGAGTTATGGATGTACTTGGGAGGTTTGCTAAGCACTCAAGAAGCTAGAGTCGCTCTCGGCTATCGCCTCGTGCAACTCTTACGCTTCTTCTACCATTTGTTAATTAATAACAACAACTTTCAACCACAGCAACATCTTTATTTATACTCACCATGAACTTAACTTATAAATTATGACTACCTGCGAAATAGCGAAGCTAATCGAGGCAGGTAGTATGAGAAACGTGTCAATTACATAATAATTATTAATATAATATTATTCTAATGACAAAAAATAATTAACAAGTACAAAGGTACAGATGTCAATTACAAATTAAAAGTGAATACAAAAATATAGATATACTAATTACGAAGCCCCGAGCACATAATTAAAAACAGGAATTTCAGCTCAAAATACTCTTTATTTTAACAAAATCTAGTTTCTTGTCATTTGGTTTATTAATGTATCAATATCAGGATAAGAATCCTGGTTTATAAGGATTTGAAGTAAGGATTTGGTTATTTTTTTCTTGAAACTATATTTTGGGGGCTGTCTCAAAACATCAGGAATCCAGTTCTAACTTTTTAAGTTACCTTTCTGTCCATCTGGTTCATCAAACAAACAATAATTCATGCCAACCTCTCCTCCTCCATCTGTGGCATCAGGTAGAACCAGCTCAAAGGTTCCCGTGTCTAAGTCAAATTGTGCTTCATAACAAGCATATCCTAATATTGTATTACTGGGGAGTTCATATGAACGGTGGTGTTCCAATTCTACCGAGCCACTCAAGCTGATAGAGAACTTGGGTTTGCCAGTACTAACACTTGCATCACCTGAAAATGTAGACTATTAGCTGTGTCTTTTGTCCATTTTTATATGGCATATGTTGAAAAAAATTGTTAGTCAAGAGTAACTACCCTTATCTATCTGGTTTGTTAAGCCAAAAAGTATGCTGCTGGTTGAAAATTGTTAAGTGAGATGACCGAAAGATAGCATTTGAATTCAAATAATTGTTAGTGCATAACCTCTGGATGTCTTTGTGCTTTACCGAGTAATGCCAGCCAAAAATCACTGGCAGCCAACACTTAGAAAAAACCCGACATTGCAGAGTGCATGCCCCTTTAAAAGCAGTGAATATAATGTTTTTATGGCCTCTAAAAGAGAAATTATAAGTGTTATAATATATAAATGCGGCAGATATAAATTTGGTAGAGTAGCAATTTGGTGGTTGTGTCAAACGTGGCGAGAAGAGAAAAGTATTGGTCAGGAGTTATTTTTTTTGCATCTCACCAGCATGCCAAGAAAAGAAAAAGGTATAACTATAGCTGCAGGATGGTGTTATGGTTACTATTACAATGGCCATGTCTACTTCTTTTCTTGTTATTATGAACTAGGTTCATCACATTGAATGAGGTTTTTAGGATTTGCTTTCCTTGGGGAAACCTGAGAAAGACAGATGGCATTACACACTTCCCCTGGCCCCTATAAAACTAGTATCTAACTTCTTCCAACATCACTCCTTAATGAACCATTAAGGTCACAAGAATAAAGGAAATGATTGCCAACTAGAGAAGCTCTTGATTATTAAACAAATTCTCCTTGTCAGCATCTTGAAGAAATTTATAGAGGACAGTAAGGAGAATATGCTTAATGGTATTATTTTTATGGTGGACAGAATTTTAACCAGCTTGTACGTGCACCCTTACATATTCTGAGTTTTTGGTTTTTTTTTCCTCTCCAGTGAAGAACCAGAGAGAGTAAGCTTCAACTGTATTTCAAATAGCATCATTTCCTGATTGTTTTAATACTCATAAAATAAAACATAAGATTGTCAAACCTTCCTCCCTAGAATCTGAAGCAAGGTCTGTGTCTCCTTGAGTTGCAACTGTTTCATAAATGATACACAGACTTCTTCTCTGTTTGGTGCAAATGTACTGCACATATTCATGACCCAAATTCAATGTTGTGTCTGCTAGAGCCTTCTTCAAGTTAACCCATGTGACTTCTCTTTTCAAAACAGTTCCTACATCCATGCTGATAGTAAATGAGTCTACTGCAGATGCATCAATTCCAAACTCTGATGCAATCTTGCCTCCCAGTTTACCACTGATGTGGAACTTTGGTTCATTTTTGTAATTTGAGATGAAGGTGGATTTTTCAATATGACCTTTGATATGAACTGGCTAAAGGGACAAAAAAATTGAAGAAATTTCTGGTAGTAAGAGTGGTGAAAGATATTGGCCAGGTCATTCTTGTGTATAATACTGACCAGATTAACTTTGTTGTCATGTTCAAATATATTGCTGAACCAATAGAAGGATTACAGTATCAAAACATCATCTAGCAAACTCAAATTGCCTTTGCTGTAATTTTCTGATGCTTTTCCAGGCAAGTTGGTGTGAGTCGTTTCATTGGAAGATCAGTCTCTTCTTAAATTTTATAAAACTGGCATATTCTGTGTGTATATACAAATGTTAAAAACTGACACTTTTCTTTCAAACATGATCCCCATTTAAATAAATTGATAATCATGTTCTTTACTTGAGAGGAATCAAAAAAAAAAATGACTTAAAAGGTTAAAGATCCAAAACCTTGCAAGTCACTTTACTGGTTGTACTCAAGAAAAGGGGAGTTACAACAACTTAGCATGTTCAACTATATTATATAATAAATGTGTCAAAATGTCATAACAAAAACAGAATTTTCATAAACTATATAGATATGGTTAAGTAGGTAGTATTGTTGAGTACACAGGGTGTGGGAGAGGCATGGCCATGATGTCATCCATGATATGATCAAACCTTCCATTCGCAACGAATCCGAAATTGTCGTTTTAAAGAAGGATTTATCTGTCAAGATACTGAATTTTTTTTCACGTCTCTTTAAAGACACGTTTGATGTAGAAAAAAAATCCTATATCAAAAGAAACCCTGACTTCGAAAACTTCAATTTATTGAATACTACAGCTCAAACTCGCCAACCTCATCGAAAGGAAAAATTTACAAGACTTGCAATAGTCCACATGTGTTTCTACATATCCATGTCATACAGGCCGTTTTGGGCAATGGCGCATCTCCCTTCTCTCCCTTAAAAGCTTAATGTGTAAAATCTTTTACTCTTACCTTCGTTAACAGCTCATTCAAAGTAAAAGGTGTAGACTTATATGTGTCTGTCTTCCAAAACCAACGGCTTCTTTTTTTTGTTACAACACACAGAATACTACTACGTGTAGACGTGTTTAAATCAAGAATTGGACGAAGGGTGGATCGCCCCGTATCTTTGACAAACTGTTTAGAACAAGCTTCGAACAGCGCCATATTTATGTTCAATATGGACGATTATAGACAAGCATGCTGGGAAATGTTTACAGCGACATCTTGCGGGAATGGGCACGATCCGAGGAAAAGCATTCATGTCAGGTCCATATCACGTCCCAATAACTAATACCATTAATCTACTTAACAATTATTCCACGAGCGCGCGTTGGATATGAGATGATAGATAGCCAACGGGGCGCGTAGCGCCGAGTTGGCTATAATCATCTCATATCCAACATGCGCGAGTGGAATAATTGTTTTATTAAAAACGTCCCCAAGATATTAGTCAAATCTTAACAAATCTTAAATTTTTTAGCTCCCTTTTAATTTTAACCCGACGCGTACGCTTACCTTATTTGTAGATTATGGTATATTGGCTCATATACCATAATAGCTAAGCTAATAAAAAGTCTTGAATTGCATTATCCAATGATCGAGTTTTTAATAAAATCATCTTATATCTAACAAGCGCGAGTGGAATAATTGTTTTGTTTAGAAAAACGCCCCCAAGATACTAGACAAATCTTCTCGACTTTATTTTGTAAGAAGAAACCGAATGTTACAATGTACAGTTATTAGATTATGGTATATTGGCTCATATACTAGAATGGCTAAGCCAATAAAAAGTCTTAAATTGCATTATCCAATGATCCAGTTTTTAATAATATCCATTAATACTAAGTATTATAACGTTCATGTATGTTGCACGATATGTCCTAGCTAACCTTAGCTTGTTCTACCAGTTACCCTCACCTTCTTTAAGTTACCATTATTCTACCAAATTAACCCCCATCTACCCTAAGTTACCAGTATTCTACCACGTTAAACCTCATCTACCCTAAGTTACTCGTGTTCTACCACGTTAAACCTCATCTACCCTAAGTTGCCCATGTTCCACCACGTTAAACCTCATCTACTCTAAGTTACCCGTGTTCTACCACGTTAAACCTCATCTACCCTAAATTACCCATGTTCTACCACGTTAACCTTCATCTACCCTACGTAACCCATGTTCTACCACGTTCACCGCCATCTACCCTAGGTTAACAATGTTACACCGCGTTTACTCCCATCTACCCTAAGTTACCCATGATCTACCAAGTTTCCCCCATCTACCCTTGGTTAGCCATATTCTACCACGTTTACCCCCATGTACCCTTGGTTAGCCGTGTTCTGCCACGTTAACACTCATCTACCCTAGGTAACCCATATTCTACCACGTTCACCCCCATCTACCCTAAGTTACCCATGTTCTACCCCGTTTACCCCCATCTACCCTAGGTTAGCCATGTTCTACCACGTTAACCCTCATGTACCCTAGGTAACCCATGTTCTACCGCATTCACCCCCATCTAGCATCTACCCTAGATTAGCCATGTTACACCTCATTTACCTCCATCTACCCTGGCTTAGCCATGTTCTACCACGTTCACCCCCATCTACCCTAGGTTAGCCATGTTACAACTCGTTAACCCCCATCTACCCCAGGTTAGATGGGGTTAGATGGGTTCGCTCTGACGAAGGGCTAACGCTCGAAACGTCAGCTTTTATAATCGTAACGGTGGCCAATTTACCCTTTCAACTTTGTTAATATATTCAAATTATTTCGTTACCCCCACCGACGCAGCCCCAAACAGTTTCTTTAAAACTATCAGCCTTTACCCCAGGTTAGCCGTGTTCTACCACGTTTACCCCCATCTACCCTAGGTTACCCATGTTCTACCACGTTAACCCTCATTTACCCTAAGTTACCCATGTTCTACCACGTTAACCCTCAGTTTCCCTAAGTTACCCATGTTCTACCCCGTTTACCCCCATCTACCCTAGATTAGCCGTGTTACACCTCGTTTACCCCCATCTACCCTAGGTTAGCCATGTTCTACCACGTTTACCCCCATCTACCCTAAGTTACCCATGTTCTACCTCGTTTACCCCATCTACCCTAGGTTAGCCATGTTCTACCGTGTTAAGCCTCATTTACCCTAAGTTACCCTATTCTACCCCGTTTACCCCCATCTACTAAGGATTAGCCATGTTCTACCAAGTTAACCCTCATTTACCCTAAGTTACCCATGTTCTACCACGTTTACCCTCATCTACCCCTAATTAGCCGTGTTACACCTCGTTTACCCCCACCTACCCTAAGTTACCCATGTTCTACCTCGTTTACCGCCATCTACCCTAGGTTAGCCATGTTCTACCACGTTTACCCTCATCTACCCTAGGTTAGCCATTTTCTACCACGTTAGCCCTCATGATCATCTACCCTAAGTGAGCCATGTTCTACCACGGTTACCCCCATCTACACTAAGTTACCCATGTTGTACCACGTTTACCCCCATCTACTCCTGGTTACCCATGTTCTACCACGTTAACCCTCATTTACCCTAAGTTTCCCATGTTCTACCCCGTTTACCCCCATCTACCCTAGGTTACCCACGTTCTGCCACGTTAACCCTCATCCACCCTAAGTTACCCATGTTTTACCACGTTCACCCCCATCTGCCCTTGGTTAGCCATGTTACACTGCGTTTACCCCCATCTAGCCTAGGTTAGCCATGTTCTACCACGTTTACCCACGTCTACCCTAAGTTACCCATCTTCTACCAAGTGTACCCCCGTCTGTCCTTGGTTAGCCATGTTCTACCACATTTACTCTCATCTGTCCTAAGTTACCACTGTTCTACCACGGTAACCCTCATCTGCCCCAAGTTACCCATGTTCTACCACGATAACCCTCCTCTACCCTAAGTTAACCACGTTCCATCCTTTTAACCCCTATCTACCCCAAATTCACCATGTTCTACTACGTTCGCTCTCATCTTTTCTAAAGAAAGCAGCTCTAGCTACCTTTCAACCCCATATCTACCCTGAGGTGACCACGTTTAACCACGTTTATCTTCACCTACCCTTTGTTAACCTAGTGTCGTCTTGTTGACTGACATATATTCTCTTAACTTATTCTCCCAAGTTTAGGCACCAACCCCATGCATGTCGGCGCCGTTTTAGTTTGTTCACCCACACATGCTTAGGGTTGGGGACGTTTTTCCACGCTCACCCTCATATCTTCTGAGGCAAGACATTGATTGATAGGAATGATGACTTATTATTTATCGAAGCAAAGAAGCAAAGATGGTTTGATACAGTGGACTTTGGAATGTTTTTCTCAAGAAATAAGAGTGTGACGGGTTTTAAGGCCTTCTGTCAACCTGCTCCGTTCGTGGCTTGCTAGCATTCAAGCTTTATATTTTAACTATCAGCAACAAGAGCTCATTGGATGACACTGAAAAGTAACGTTTGGGGTATTGTCAACAAGATGTTCTTGGAACTAGCAAAAATGAAATGCAGTTCATCATTTGATTCGTCATCAGAGATATAGGAGTAAGGTTTCCTGGTTAGTTTTTAAGCTGTACTTTATCCATGCTGTTCTCATAGACTTTATCCTATCTTTTTCACCCTGTACATCTCCGTTGCGTCTCCCTTTTCAGCGTAACGTCGCTCGTATTCGTTTATGATGTGCCATGAGTGTTGTAAGTTTCAGGTCATTTGGGATTTGATGGACAATATAAGGGACTATAAATTCCATTGATAACGCACTTACAAGAGGAATTGATTAATTATTTTTTCAGGGGAAAAAGATGCCTTACTAAAGTGCATTTCGCAAAAGTTTAGATTAGAAACCTCGGGAAGGGTGACGGATTTCTTAACGATAACAAAAATCGAGCATTTACGTAGTTAGTTTGCCCAAGAGAGAAACGCCCCTAGTATCACGACTAAATAAAGTTACAAAATAAAGTATTACAAGGTTCTGTTTTTACAGTTACCGTTTCTAAGTGAAAGCAATGCAAGACGGTTTGGATTGATATCTCTCAGGAAAAATTTAATCACCTAAAAGTGTGACCTAATACAACAAAACTATTTAACTACAGGTGACTATTATAAGCCGGCCAGATCTGTTTTTCTTTTTTATAGAGGACATTTCGCTACCAATCCAAACTGTAAATCAGATCGATCATTTCTCAGGCGGCACCGTAGGTTTTGGCAAATATGTGTACTTATACAAAAAAAACATGGATTTAGAGGCGTATTGAACAACAAATCGACGGCTTATAAAGGTCACTTGCAAGGCTGAAGGGATCAGGATTCCTATCGTCGACAGAAACTCCGCAAATACGTGGACCATAGACAAATCATGAGTCGGTTTTGTGTAATAAAAGTTATAAATCTAACTAATGTGGAGCCATCTGCGGAAAACATTTCCTCATTATAAAATTTTGTAATTAGTTCAAAATCATCAGGGCAAAAGCCCGCTAATTAATCTGTCATCTAAAACAGCTGCGCAGATAACTGCCAAGTTGGCGCACATGCAAAAAAAAAAGAGATGTAGTGTGCGCTCGTCTCAATTCAGAGCAACATGATTAGTGTACTACTCGATAGATTTTCTGCTACGATGTCTAAAAAAGATTTGGCGGGGTTTCATAATCGGTCTCCCATGCTTACTCTGTTAGTAAACATAGTTTTAATTGATGTTGCAAGAGTTACTAGTTCTCGTTAGAAAAATTAGCCCTCCATGCTTTTGTACTCAGATTAAGGCAGTTTAGTTGGATTATTTAGATTTTGGTTATTTAGATATTATATTCAATATTGAGCATGTAAAGATGAAGAAATTTTTCTATTACACTAAAAAAAAATATTCAATATTAATTACATAATTCGCCTGCGTTCACCTCAGTGAATAAAGTTTCCTTTATTTTCCTTCTGAATGGACGAGAAGATAAAAGCAATGAGTAACCCTTATATACAGTGATAATTTTATTAAAAAGCATTTGAACATGTTTAAACTTTGCTGTG